GGGAGTCGTGATACATCACATGATGACACTGTGACAATGTTTGATTGACACTCCTGCCCTAAACCTTTCCAGCCCCTTGACCATTTGACTTGCCTTCCTCTGAATCTTCCCTAGCAATTCTCCATCCGTTTGGAGATGTGATCTCAAATTCCACACAATAATCCACAGGTCTAGTTGCATCATTGTTTTATACAAGTTCATTATAATGTGGTATTTATATCACTGCCACACTTCTGGGTGACTCATGGCAGGCTCAAGATAGTGGGGGTGTGGATTTCCTGTTCATGGCCCTTTTCCATTTCTGTGACTTTTGATACCACTGACCTTCTGGGGACTGGAGGGAAAGGCATAGGGGGTTGGTGGTGCTCCTTTCTCCAGGCTGGTCCAGCAGTGTGTGTGTGTGAGAGGGGGGGGAACGGTGGTATTAAAAAAAAAATACTACCAGTTTTGTGGGCATGGCTTTGTTGGCATAGCAGGGGAAGGTTACTGCAAAATCCCCATTCCCTCCCCACCCCACTAACCTGCTTTCCAGCTCCGTTCTCCTGATCAGGAAAACAAAAAAGATCAGCTGGGAATCAGTGGGGGCGGGACCAGCCTATTTGCCAGTTTGCCCAACAACTCAAAATTTCGGCTACAGCTTCTCCAGAATCTGTCAGAACTGGCTGAATACCACCTCTGGTGAGGTGTGGGGAGAGAGATGTGTCTTATCAGGGGAAGGCAGGTCATGTGCGCAAAAGCACTCCGAGAGCATCAAAGTCCCACCCCTGGGTAGCTCCAAAGGCCAGGACCCAAAGAAGGGAGAGGAGCAGCCAGCCAGCTCACGGCCCACAAGCCCCCGTGTCCAAACAGAGTTACTGGCAGTCTGGAGTCCACGAGGCAGTGTTTCCTCAGGCACCAACACACACACACACAGTTCAGGCAGGCAGAAAGTTCTTCCTAGCAGAGACAGGAACCCCTGTCCTTGCTCTGCCCTGTGAGGCTGGGAGGAGGCTGGCATTAATTCCTCCCTCTTCTGCTGCCTTCTTGTAGAAATAGAGACCTAGGAACCAGCCATCCTTGAGGAAGAGATCATATGGGTGATGAACCGACTGCCAAATGACAAGACTCCAGGGGTTGACACCATTGCTGCAGAATGACTGAGACCTGTACCACTCAGTCTTGAGAGATCTATGCCAGAAAATCTAGGAAACCAACATGTGGCCACAGGATCAGAAATGCCCAGTGTTAATTCCACTGCTAAAAAAGGGTAAAGATTGCTCCACATATCACACAATTGCTCTCATCCCTCACACATCAGCAAGGTTCTACTTAAAATTACATAACATCTAGCGCCAGCTATGGAAAGGGAATTGCCAGATGCCCAGGGGTTGTGGCACCTGTTACCATATTGCAAATTGTGCTGGTCATGGAAAAATCTCGTGAATATCTAATGATCATTTACATGAGCTTCATTGATTACACGAAAGCCTTCAATTGTGTGGTTTCATGCGATGCTAGAGAGCCCTGCAAGACCTGGGGCTACAAGCACATCTGATCAAGTTGGTGCAATCATTGTACACTATGTGACATGGAAGTGTCCACAGAAGCTCTCTGGCTGTCGTCTCTCTGGCTGTCCAAGTGGAAATGGTGGCCCCTGAGCCCCCTGGAGCTCAGATTCTGCCGTGCTACAAGGGGGATCCATCTGCTTCCCAAAAGCCTTCCTCAGGCTGCATCTGCAGGGACTGGGACCAAGGTCCTGGGGGCCCTCACACAGCCCCTTTCAGAAGTCCCTCCGCTTCCGGCTAGGCAGCTAGACTTGCCCCATGACTGACAGATCCTGTGGGCACCAAAGGGAAGCTGCAGAGCTTCTGGCTCTTGTGACCCCCCAGATCCGATTCCAACTGATGTGGAGCCTTGAAGCCAGAAACACCTTGGAGTGATGTGAGAGTGTGGGAGTCTGCGAGACCAGCATCCCTGTGAGGAGGGAAGCGGCTTGTTGTTCTGCTTGGTAGCGACTGGAGGGTGTGTGTCTCTGAAGAGCACAACTTCTATGCCCCCCCCCACTTCTACTCCCCAGAGGAGCACCTGGTTTCCTTTCGTGCATCTGAGTCCATCCTGTCCTGCATCTTTCTGGTAGACTTCCCACCCTGCCTGAGTGAGCAACAAATTCATGTTTTAAATACTTGGTACCTTTTAATTCTTTTATTTTTATCCTATCCTTTATTATTTTTAGAAATAACTCAAGGCACTGAATGTACCTAACATTCCCTCCTCCTCCTATTTGGGTTGGCCTGAGAGAGCGATTGGCCCAAGACAATCAGCCAAGTTTCATGCCCAGGGCTGGACTCCAACTCAGTCTCTGTTCCGACCAACTCAGTTTCCAAGTTTGTCAGATGGGCTGCTAAAACGAAGCAAGGCTGCGGCATGTGCCCTTGAAAGAGCACTGGGCTGCCTGAAATTGTGGAATATGTCTGGCAAGAAGAAAGAATGTTTATTCACAGAGAATATGCACGGTGTACCAAGTGTAGGTGATTAGAGGACTGATAATAGTAACACAGGATTAGGCATCTTGCAAACCTCAGCTGCAAGTTAGGAATCTAGATGACTTGGAGCAAATAGAATATGTATTTTAGAGAATTCCTGGAACATTCATTAGCCAAGGCTTAGGAATAGGGACGGCTAGAGACCATTAGGTTAATTGTTAGAGCATCACTAAAATGTTTATTAGATGGTTTGTTTTATATAGCCCACCTTCCACTTTAGTGAAAATATATAAAGCTTTCTTGGTTCTATTGTTCAAGGTTCTTGGCATTTGTGGCCAGGAGCCTTTTCTTGGGGTGCTTCAATAAAAAAGCTGCACCTCCTCTCTGGTGTTCTTCATCGGTTTTGGCATCAGGCTGAGTGTGGAATTGGGAACCACAGGGTCTTAACCACTAGACCAGGCTGAAGTTGGCATAATTAGTGTACTCCCTTGAAAAACTTTTAATTTCAAAATATTTTTAAAAATAAAAAAATAGCCACCCCTAATTTATTGGGTGTAATGTGCAGTAGAACAAAAGGGACAAAACATGGCCTAAAGGAAGTATCAAATGCCAAGTGATCATTTTTTCCTTGTAACTGTTTTTTGCTCTGCTGAAACTGCCACCTTCTGATGTGGCTTCCACAAATAAACCACCAGTTGAAGCGGCCCATCTGGGCAACCGGAAGCCAGTAAACGGACTGATACCACTTGGCCAAACGGGAGCTCCGTTCTTGGACTGAGCTGAGCCTTCCTCACTGGGGAGGAATCTGGAACTCCCTCCCCCCCATTACTCCGCATTCTGGTCCAGCGCCACCCGCTACCAAGGGGCCTCGTTGGCCGTCCGGTCCCTGGGGGCGGCTTCCTGAGCTGGGCTGGAGGGGGCGAAGCGGGGCCCCTTCAGGGCCTTTCGGAAAGGAAGCGCGCAGGGCGCCAACGGAGGAGGGGGGGGTTGGCAGAGGCGAGGAAAGCCTTTCCTCCGCCTGCTCAACACGGTCACATCCCTCAACTGCACCGTCCGCCGAGGGAGACGCGCCGGGCGACCCCTGAACTGCGCAGCCCCTCGACGGCTCCGGCCTCTCCTTCCGCGGCGCCGCCGGCAGAGGAAGTGCGGCTGGTCTGCCCGGGGCGGCTGCCCAGAGCTTCGCCTTTCCTCGAGGGGGGGGGGGGGCGTCGCCCGGCAGCTCGGCTGCCCAGCCCGCCCGGCGCTCCTGAGCAAAGCGCGACTTAAGCCGGCGCGATAATTTCCCTCACTTTCCCTCAGCCCTGCCGGGAACAGCCGCTTCCAACGCGGCTTCGGCCAAGGGTCGAGAGGGGCGGGGAAAGCGCGCCTGATCGGCGGCCGCTTCTCGCCAGGCGCTGGAGCCTCGGCGCTGGACGCGTGCCAGGGACACCGGCCCAGGCAGGGGGGAGGGTGAAGCGGCGGCCGCTGGGGGTCTCCGCGGGTCTCCGCCCTGGAAGCCCCGCCCCGCCAATCCCAGACCGGCTCCTCCGGCGCAGCCCTGCCCGACCGGGAAGGACGCGGCAGATCCGTCGCCGCACCATGGCCGAGCCGGCCGCGTCCCCGGAGGCGCCGTCCGCCGTGCAGTGCCGCCTGCAGTTCCTGGAGGACGCGGACCCCTTCTGCTGCGCCGCC